TTTATGATAAGTTATTATCTTCTCTTGATCATGCTGTGGAACAAGAATTTCTAACATTTTCAGCACGACAAATCATAATCTGTGCTACTATTGCTGAACAATTGATTAACCAACTACAATATTTCATTCTTGTAATTGATCACTCCATGAGTTGCATAAATTAGTCAACTAAGGAAAGCTGTAAAAAACATAGATTGGATTTGAGCCTTCATTTATGAATCCTTGTGTCTTTCAATTTTATTAATAACATATTATTTTGTTTTGTTATTTCTTATATTTGTTTAAGTGTGTTTTAGGTGATGTCTTCTATACTCTATCTTTCTACCATAAAACATTAAGGACAATGTCTCGTTTTGGTTAGGGAGAAAGGGTAGTAATTGATATTACAAATAAAAAATAAATAAATTAACTAACTGTGTTTTCTGTTTCATAAACCATTTGCAAAACTGTTATTACTAGAATGATAGAGTAAAGGAGTTCTTTTGTTATAGTGACTTTTGAGACACATCTTAGTAAACATTCTTAACAAGGTCTATCAGAATACTTCTTGAAATATTTAGGTTTACAAACTCTCGCATTGTTATCATTTAATTTTGCTCATATACTCATTTAACAAGTATTCTTAAGCCTTCATTTTCACACACACACTTTAACATATAATTGTGGGTTGCATATTGAATTATTATATTATTTATGTTCTTTTGTTAAAGGTAACAACTAAGAGAAAGTAATAGTATATAATTTGCAAAAAAAAAAATGATGATAATAAAAAAATAGATAAGTTTGGTTTCGTAACCTCCTTAACCTAAGCAATTAAGTCTGAAGGGGTGTTTTAACACCTAATACCCTAAAGTCAACTAACTTGAAAGCTATTGGCACAATGCTTGTTACATAGGTTGAGGAGAAAAGCTTAAAGAAATCAAACATTGCACCATCTATGTATTAGTATCTGCAACCCGAGTTATTAAGCTTGAAGGGGTGTCTCAACACCTAATGCCCTAATACCAACTGGTCTGGGAATCATTAGGCGAAAGCTCATTACATGGATTAAAGATGCATTGTGTTATATGTATGTATATTAAAAAAAAGAAAGAGAAAAAAAAGAGATAATAATCCCAACCCACGGAAGTTAGCCTTAAACATTAGAACAAAATTCTATTTTCATCCAAGTAAAGCCCCATAACTATGTGTTGATATATTAAGCACAAAAGAAATATTTATTAATATCTTGTTTAAGAGGTATTGAGCAGATATATAAATTTAATGAAAATTTATTTATTTGGATTGATTACGAGAAGTTGAATGATGAATGCCTTACTTTATGGAATTTGCAAATTATTTTTCTATTTTAACGCTTTGATTACTAGGACTAGTAATAAGCTAGTTGGGGGGGTGATTAGTACTTAAAAGTGTATTTTTATCAAGGTTTTATATTATCATTTTGCACTTGAAGTATTAATAACTCCTTAACTAAAACATGTTTTATAATAACAAGTCTGATACCATAAGATACCTTTAATTTAAGGTAAATGTTTATCTTAAATACAGGCCTATCACATAAATAAAATGATTGATTGATGAGTTTAAGTATTAAAATTGAAAGGACAAAGAAAGGGTCAAACTTTGAAAAGAGATGCTGGTTCAACCCAAACTGGAATACTATTCGGTCATTGAGTCATATCAAGAATTGTAGATCTTGGATTTAGGTCTGCTCTATATGATGAAAAGCTAAGACATAGGCCTAAAACTTTCATGGGAAGGTAAGACTCAATTTTGCTATTTGGAAGTCCAAATCTTAGCAATAACAGAGAAGTCTGAATTTGTCTTGCAGCCCAGACATTGTTTAGTGTTCAGCCCATATCTCGAGTTCTAGAAGTCTAAATGACCTCAATTTTTTTCCCTGGAAAGCTGAGACAATTTCTAAGAAAGAAACTTAGCTAGACATAATGAAAGAAAGAAAAATAGATAAACAAAATAAGAACATAAATAAGATAAAAGTTAACTAAGTAAATGAAAGGAAATGAAAGGCATAAACTTGATATTAATAAAAGCAAAGCATAAACATTACAAAAAATACAAAGAGAGAAAGCAACATAATGATCTTGATCTGGAGACCAAGATGCCTAAATGCATGGCAAATGCCTCCTTTTATAGGCCAAAATTGGGAACTATTGATTTGATGACTAATTGATGAGTGGGTGATCAACTCTTGACTTGGTGACAATCCTTATCTTCTCTTGTCTGCCCAAAACATTATTGATAATGTCAAAATTGGAGCCACTTGAAAACATGAAAGTTGTAGGAAATTGTCTTAGCTTTCTTGTTAAAAAATTCAGCTCATTTCAACTTCTAGAACTCCAGCAATGGCCAAAATACTGAACAGTGCTCGGGCTGGAGGACAGATTCGGGCTTCTTTGTTGTTATTACAATTTGGACTTGAAAATGGCCTTTTTAGATCTTAGGCTCCATATGAAAGTTCTAGGCCTATGTCTTACCTTTCCATCCATATAAAGTAGACCTAAATCTGAGATCTATAGCTCCAGATATGACCCAATTACCGAACAGTGTTCCGGTTTGGACTGCACCAACATCTCTTTTCTAAGTTTGGCCATCTCTTTTCTTTCTTAAACGGAATAATTTAGTTTGTATTTCCAGCAGTAACTCATGGATAGAAAAGTTTCATCGGTGAATATGATATAAACAGTAAATATTTTGCAGCTCTTTATAAAATACCACTTATGCAAATAAAATTGTATAAATTATATAGCAATTAACTCTTTGTAAAATACGATTTATGCAAATAATTATATGAAACATTAAAAATATAAAAATAAAGTTAAATAATATTAATCCAAATATTCATTATAAATTTAAAGTGTTTCCAAAAAAAAATTAAACTAGAACAATGACATAGCTGGAGGAGACTAGTTGTTCCCGGGACCAAACTATCAAAAAAGGGGTGCACATGTATCACTCATCTATGATCTAATGTCCATAATCATTTAACGGGGTTGTTTATAATTCATCGAGGGTTACTCGTATTGTTGTTTTAAGGCCATGAACTCCTCAAATTGGATGCTTGATACTAGTTAGGATCTTCCAATGGTTGAGATACTATGAGCTGCCTACAAGTTCTCGGCCGTAGTGTTGAAGAGCTGGTACACTCGATTTTTATTGCGTCTATCAAAAGATCCTAACCACCACAATATCAAACATTATAAAAAAAATCACTGTAACTTTTTGATGTGTTCCAAGTTGAAAAATAATAACCACCACAATGCTCCAAGTTGCAGTATTTACGACTAAAAATCAAGCCGTGTTGCCATTGTTTCTTTGTTTCTTGAAATTATTTTGCAGTTGACTTTTGATTATTGTTTTCAGAAAAAACAATAGTGAAAATGAAATCCTCATGTGTCTCTTATTTTAAAATGAAAAAGAAAATTGCCCTAAAAATATTTTAAAAATCACCCTGGCTGCCAAATACACGTCATAAGATTTTTAAAATATAGGGCCTTTTTTTTTGTTCTATTTAAAGACATGACATAGGGCTAATTGGCACTATAAAATACGTACATTATTATTCCTCCCTAAGACTACTTCTATAACCATCATCAAGACTTGCATAATATAGAAATTTAGCTATTTTTCTTTCTGTTTATTTCTTCGAGTAATATTTTGTTTCTGTGATTATGGCTACTGGGCAAGCACCATTCAACCCCGTTCCAGCTATGAGACCATACCCGCCTGTGGAGCATCCAGTGGTGGTAATAGGGCCACAGTACCTGGCACAGTACCCTGTTGAGCTCGCCGTCAACAGTGATTTTAAGGTGTCTGACATTAATGGCACCCTCATCTTCCAGGTCAAGAGTAAACTATTAAGCCTACATGATCGTCGTTTTCTGAAAGATGCAGCCGGAAACACCCTTGTCAATCTCAGGCAGAAGGTATGTTTAATTGCTCTCTGTCATTTGTTCTCGTCTTTTTCAATCTAACCATCACAACAACGATAAGAGTCAATCCGATATCAATTTCTTACCGCGTGTTTAATTTCTCATTTTCTCCAGATAAGGACCATGCATGGGAGGTGGGAGGCTTTTAGAGGAGAAAGCAAGGAGAAGAGTGATTTGCTTTTCACAGCCAAGAAATCAAAGCTGTTCCAATTCAAGACTGAGTTAGACGTATTCTTGGGTAATAACCTAGGAGAGGTCCCTGATTTCAAGGTCAAAGAAGGCTACAGCAAGAGTTCCTGCTCTATACTTCTTGGAGATTCCAATACCATGCTTGCACAGGTAACATTAGCAAAACTTATTTCTGAAATATGTCAATATTGAATAAATTTAGCCAACATCATCTTCTCATATAGAACTATATGTATGTGGCTGAGGCTGTCGTAGAAATATCCCAGATTTCATTACATCCTTTACACTAAAACCGATTATTGTTTTAATCAAGAAAGTTGTCTTCATAATTAATATCTCATGCCGGTATTTTTCTTATTATGTGAACGCAGGTGCATGGAAGACACAATCTCGCGATTATGCCTAATGTTGATTATGCCTTCATAGTGGCTCTTGTGGTGATGATTCTCAAAGGGAGCAATCCGGATGATCATGGGGATGCAGCCATTAATGGCATTAAAGTCATTAACGGTGTTATCGATGGATTTGCTTCGTCAGCGTAAAAAACACACTCCAACGGTAAAAATCATCAACAGAAACTGTTTGTCGACATCTAGATTGTTGGTAATTTCTCTTTTTGTTGCTAATTTTGTCTGTAAAAAAAAAAATTAACGTCGATAGTCGTATAGACGGATAAAGCATAAACTTAATAATAAGATGGCCAAACTTAGAAAAGAAAGAAAAATAGATAAACAAAGAAAAATAGATAAATAAAATAAGAACATAAATAAGATAAAAGTTAACTAAGTAAAGGAAAGGAAATGAAAGGCATAAACTTGATATTAATGAAAACAAAGCATAAACATTACAAAAAATATAAAGAGAGAAAGCAAGAGCATGATCTTGATTTGGACACCAAGAT